CATCTCCTCCCAGGGCCTGAAGATGGACCCCCAGAAGGTTCAGGCTGTAGCTCAGTGGCCTCTACCCACGACCCTGAAGCAGCTGCAAAGCTTCCTGGGTTTCTCGAACTTTTACCGGAGGTTTATACGCAACTTCAGTTCCCTCGCAGCACCTCTGACCTCACTCACCAAAACCACCAATCAGCCTCGCCCTTTTCGCCTTACTCCAGAGACTGTCAGTGCTTTCCATGAGCTGGTCGGACGTTTCACTAAGGAACCCATCCTCCTCCACCCGGACCAGACCCGGCCCTTCGTCGTGGAGGTGGACGCCTCGGATGTGGGAGCGGGGGCCGTTCTCTCGCAACGGGGTCCAGACTCTAAGCTCCACCCATGTGCCTACTTCTCCCGGAAGTTTTCCCCCACACAGCAGAACTACGGGGTTGGCGACAGAGAGCTGCTGGCAATAAAGTGGGCGCTGGAGGAATGGAGGCAGTGGCTCCTGGGGACCACCGATCCCTTTCTGATCTGGACCGACCACCAGAATCTCATTCATCTACAGACTGCCCGCCAGCTCAACCCTCGCCAGGCTCGGTGGGCCCTCTTTTTCGAGCCGTACCACTTCCATATCGCCTACCGGCCCGGCTCCAAGAACCTCAAGGCGGACGCTCTCTCTCGGCGTTTCGCACCAGATGCCGGCCCCCCGGAGCCTCGGACCATTCTACCGGCTCAACGCTTCCTGGCCTCCCTCCAATGGCCGTTGGAGCAGTCCATACAGGCGGCACTTCCTGGCGATCCAGCGCCGCCGGAGACCCCACCGAACCGCCTCTACGTTCCCGCCTCCTGCCGGCAAGAGGCGCTCACGTGGGGGCACTGTTCACGGCTCGCGGGACATCAAGGGCAAGCCCGTACCCTCCAGTTCCTCCGTCGGGCTCTCTGGTGGCCGTCCATGAGGAGGGACGTCCGCGAGTTCACAGCTGCATGTGATGTGTGTGCTCGATCCAAGTCCTCCAACCGACCCGGCGCTGGAGAGTTGCAGCCTCTCCCTGTGCCCAAGCGGCCGTGGTCACACATCGGGCTGGACTTTGTCACGGGACTGCCGGCGGTCGACCACCTGGACACTATATTGACTATCACGGACCGTTTCTCCAAGGCCGTGCACTTAGTGGCCCTGGCCGGCCTCCCCACGGCCAAGAGGATGGCCGAACTGCTCCTGGAACAGGTGGTGCGGCTCCATGGTTTCCCTCAGGACGTGGTTTCCGACCGAGGACCCCAGTTCGTCTCACGCTTCTGGAAAGCGTTCTGTCGCCTGGTCGGTGCTTCCACCAGTCTGTCCTCTGGATACCATCCGCAGACGAACGGTCAAACAGAGAGAGCTAACCAGCAGCTTGGACGCTACCTGCGCTGCTTCGCTTCGTCCCAGCCGACCACCTGGCCCCGCTTTCTCCTGTGGGCGGAGCTGTCACACAACCTCCAGACCTCCTCAGCCACGAGTCTGTCTCCCTTCGAGACCTGTTACGGTTATCAGCCACCTCTGTTTGATCATCAGGTGCCCGAGGTGGAGGTCCCTGCTGCCCAGACGCTGGTCCGCCGCTGTCGGCTCGCCTGGATCCGGGCCCGTGCGGCCATCACCCGGGCCAACACGGAGTATGCCCGTCAGCATCGCCGCCGCCACCGGCCTGGCCCCGTCTTCCGGTCTGGCGACCAGGTGTGGCTCTCCTCCGCTAACCTGAGGATGCCGGCTGGCTCCCGGAAGCTCACTCCTCGCTTCCTGGGTCCGTTCCCCGTCCTTAAGGTCATCAATCCTGTCACCTGCCGTCTGCGCCTCCCGGCTACTCTCCGGATCCACCCGGTCTTTCACGTCTCCCAGCTTAAGCCGGTGATCTCCTCTCCTCTCCACCCTCCACCGGTCCGGGTGCATCCGCCCCACGGTGTTGAGGCGGATCGCACCTACACGGTCCGCAGGATTCTGGACGCTCGCCGCCGGGGACGAGGTTGGCAGTACCTCGTGGATTGGGAGGGGTACGGGCCTGAGGAACGCTCTTGGGAGCCCACGAGCTCGTTTGTCGACCCTACCCTGCTGACTGACTTCTGGGCCCGCCGTCCTGGGACTTCGGGAGCCGTCCCTCGAGGGGGGGGTCCTGTCACGAACTCCTCCAGCTGACTGCATTCCATTCATTCCTGCCACCAACGTGGCGACTGACGTCATCACGCCGGCACTACTTAAGGAAGTGCCGGCGTTTCATTCATTGCTCAGTCATCGTTTCTCACCAGACTTTGTATCGAGTCTCCAGGCTTACCAGCCCTCAAAACACTCAAACTACACCTACAGGAGATAACCACGCCGGCTATCTCCGTCTCTCCGCGTCTGGGCAACAGAACTCTCAGTCACGCTTCAGATCTGCCAACGAACCTGACAGACGGGTGGTCAGTTGCCGTGGCTTCTTCTACATGCCCCGGCTCCATAAGGTCAAGCTGGACCTTTCCACCTCCTGATCTAGACGGGGACTTCCGCTCAGGGTACGTAGACCGGCAAGTGGCGTTGAATGTGTTTATGAATCTCCTAGTCACAGCTTAACGCGAAGACATCACCTTCAGTTCCCATCAGAACTAATCGCTTCTTCGAATTTGCTGGTTCTGAGCAACATCACACGTCATCCCACTCACCGTCTCATCCACCTAGGGCTGTAGCGAAGCCTCGAAGACGTTGACGGCTCGATTCTAAAAATTCGTCAACGTCAGATCCGGTAGTCGACACACCACGCCCACTTGTTGCATCCCCAGGAGTTGGTGAATAGAGGTGGAATCTGCCTGTTTTTCCTCTAGTTCGCCCTATTCTCCGCCTTCACTAACATCTCCACCAAATACCGAAGACCTGGAACAATGTCGTCCGCTACTAGATTCCTTTCCTGTTTTGCCTGCCTTCGTCTCCCGGCAATGGACAACAACTTCCGGGTCAGATGCGCTGCTTCATTTCTATCGCAGATGTAGAAAATCACCGGGAGCATTTCTCCCTTCATAAAGAAGCTTCTTTCAGACATTAGGAGAGCTGTTTTGGTGGTAGCAGTCTCTCCTCCATGGCTGGTCTGTTTGCTGGGTGTTTTGGTTTATTTATACTTGGTAAATCTAACTTATCTTTGGTAAAGGTACTGTTAGCATTTTCGCTAACAGCTTCTTGCGTTGGGATAAGCTGTTAAGTTTTGGTTTAGAGTTGATCTTTTTTGTGGTGTAGATCTCCCTTTTATTACATTTAGAGTGTTGTTGGTTTTCGGTTTAGTTTAAAATATCACCTTGAGTTTGGTTTAACCACCCAGTTTAGAGTTTGGACCCTTTGGAGATCCTTATTTTGGTCCAGAACCCTGTAATCTTTGCCCAGTGGGACATTCCAGGTTATTTGTACTTTTGTTTTAATTCCCCACAGGCAGAATTAGTTTTATTATTCCCAACCTGTGGATGGAAAAATTTATGTTTTTTTTTGTAGTTGTAAATAAACCTGATCATCATTTTAACTTTTAAAGAGCAAGTAACGTCTAAATTAACTTATTTTTGCTGATGAACTGTATAACTGAGTGTCTAATAGTGTTTTAAATGTGTGTATTCATTATTTTAGCATTTTGGTGCATTTTCTTTAAAAATTAAAAATTCTGCCTAAATACCACAGTATAGCTCCACCTTCAGCTTAAAACATAGAATTTGACTCATTTTGAATAAATTTTAGCCAATGGCTAAAGAGTAAGATACTACGTAAACCAGTAGAGTACTACGTAGCAGCTCTGTGTCAACGTTATAAAAGCATCAGGAGTCTCGGCCACGCCTTATGGCGAGTTGGGAGTTGGATTTGCAAGCGAGTTTAGGTTAGCCGTAGTTCAGCATTAGCATATAGCATTAGCATATCCTAGTCTTTAGCATAGCTTTTAGTGTTATACATACTTATTTAGTGTTAGCTTGGCTGTTGGATATTGTAGTTTAGTTAGTGTTTGGCTGTTAGTGTAATTAGGAAAGTAGTTCGGGTTTAGTGCTCCATATCGTGTTAGTATGGTGAGATGGTGTAGTGTAGTATGGTTGCGGAGCTCTGTCGGGTTGCACTCCTTTCTGCTGGACTTAGAAATTAGGCACCAGTGGTTGCGCACAATCGGTGTCTGGAAAACATTCAGCTCCCGCCTGGTGCTGTAGTTTGCAACCAGCATTTTACCCGCGATTCTGCACGTCTCTGTTTGAAGAGGGAGGCTGTGCCCACCGTGGCTCTTCCGCGATTTAGATGCAGCCCACCGACTCTGCTCCCCCACCACGGCGGGCTCCATCTGAGGTGAGTCAGCTGAATAAAGTTTTAACATCTTCTAAAGACAATTCCCTACCTAAATGCAAAGTCCGAGAGACGTGGTTCACTTCATTTAGCTAGTCAGTCGGTAATTCTGCAACAGTGTCTCTAACTAACGCAGCACTAGTTGACAGACAGCATTACAGTGTGAAATCCAGCTTGTGACCCGGATCTGTGAGGAATTCTGTTCAGGAGATCGCATTTCATTTCATTTCTCCACATCATATGTGACTGACTTTTACGTTATAACAACGATCACACACAAGGAATGTTATAAAGTGCCTATATAGGACAGTTTCTTTTGTATATTATATAACTTTATAAACTCCCAACAACAATGTGCTTCTATTTTTTTTTTCAGGCTAAATCTACCCAAGACACTGGCTGTCAGACTGATTTAGCTGCAAGAATGCACTTGTCCAGGCTGACGTGAAGCCTTACCGGCGTAGCAAAGGTGAATTATTTTTAATAATCTTCTATGTAAACATTTTATTATTACCTTCTAGTTTTAATTTGTTTTACAGATTATTGTTACACGTGAGTTTATGCTCTTTTAAACATTTATAAATGTGCTGCTTCTTTGTTTTTGTACATAGCCAGCCAGAAGAGCTCACAGCCGCAGTGTGTCTTGTGACACGGGGACCATGACGGAAATTCATCTTCCAGAGAGTCAGAGCAGCGTCCACACCCCTGAAAAGACCAAGATGTGAGGTGTCTGCTGTCGATTCCAGCTTCCACCTCAGTGACAGTGCAAGCTCAGTGAACTGTTCAAGGTAAAAAAATTAAAACATTTCAGAATTTTTAAGATAATAACAATTAAATAAGTATGTGATTACATCATGACATCATGAAGGAGGCTACTGATTCTGGCCCTGTGACACTTGGTGACGTGTGAGCTGATTCACCTGGTAAGTAACTTTTACATTAAATATTTTGTTTTTGCTATCAAAAGTAAATTAACTAATAACCTGCATTATTGCAGGACACTCAGCAAAACATGGACTCTACACCATGAGGCAGGCACACGTTAATACTCTATAAGAGCACATAAGGTGAGCAACACCACATATTATTGTACACTGTCCTGGATTTGTTTTCTTTCTGCATCTCATCATTAGCCTGGCTGATCAGCTGATAACTCCTGTCATCTGGTTATGACAGCAATAAAAAAATACTGGACAAGTCCCAGGTGGGAGGGCCCCTTTCAGGTCCCAACTCGCCACTCAGCTCCGAAACTCTGGAACACTCTACCGCCTGACCTCCGCAATATAAACTCCTTCTCAACCTTCAAGTCTCAACTCAAAACTCACATGTTCCGCCTGGCTTACTCACTGTAACCGTCCTCCTTCCATCTACTCTTTTTAGTCTATTATCCATCACACTGCTCCGACTCTACCTTTGGGAATTACTTTTAGCATTTATTTCTTGTTGTTGTATTGCTTGCTTGTTATATTTTGTCCTGTACAGTGACCTTGAGAGTTTTGAAAGGCGCTTGAAATAAAATGTATTATTATTATTATTATTATTAAAGATTGCTGAGCGATCTTCGTTGATTCACCTGTCACACTGTAAGGAACAGAAGGAACTTGATTAACAGGTGACACCAATGACATGGGATTTTTCCAATATGACATGACCTTGGCTGACCTGCTGTGATTCCTGGTGGTGGTGTACACTCTGCTTCTGGTCCTTGAGAGCAGACCTGAGGGGCACAGAAGGAAATGCACCTTCATCGAACACCACTCACCTCTCGACAAGTGGTATAAAATTTCTAACCTGACTGATAAAGTGCTTGGTTTCAACGCAAGTTGTTATGAGTGCAACTTCATGCCCTACCACTCTGAAGATAATCCCACATTAATTGCAAATACATCTAACCATGAATGAGACTGTGTAGCTTCCATGATCTCTGTATGCAGGAAAGGGAAGCCGATGGGAGAAAGCAAGTTAATTGCTCCACCTTGTCACACTGTTGCAGCCCCCGGTTCCAAGGGAGAGTATGGTTGACTCTGAAACTTCTTCAAGAAGACCAATAAGACTCTAAAGAAGGTCTTGTGCTTCCACCATGCCAAACCGAAAGAGCCGTTCTGCATATCATGGAAATGCAGTAAAGCTGGGATGAGCAGGCTGGAACCATCCAGATGTTGGAGCAGGCCAAACTGTGCCTAAGAGATGGAATCGAAGCTCCTGTCGGCTCAGACTCAGGAGAAAAGTGGCGATGGAGAGACTGAGAAACATCTGAGAAAGGGCCTGAAGACAATAAAGGCTCTGCTGGCTGATGCCCAGATCATGTTGGACCACATCTAGGACAACGCATCCAGTAAGAGGGAGATCGCCCAACTAAAGGACCAGCTGGAGGAATCTGAATTCACCTGTGCAGTTGCTGTGAAAGCTCGAAAGTCCACGGAGGTGGAGATCGATGACCTGCAGTCCAGGATGGAGGAGGACCAGGAGGACATCCAATCCCAATCCAATCCAATTTTATTTATAAAGCGCATTCACAAGGCATTACAACCAAACAAGGCGCTGTACACTAAAAATGTTAGTTAATCAAACCGGCGGTATACAAACATGTCTAACACAGATAAATTTGCCGATAAGCAGGAGTTAGAGTAATCCAGCCTTGAGGTGATGAAAGTGTGGACCACAGATTTCAGAAGATGGACACTCAGGATGTGCTTTAGTTTCGAGATGCGTCTTAAGCCTGGTTTATGCTTCTCCGTCAGCTCCGCAAGGGACGTACACACACAGATTGACGGAAGCGTTTTGCTCTCATGCTTCTCCGTCACCTGGAGAGTGTTGCAAAGCAATTCCCCGGCAGGACCACAGAGGGCGTAGCGCTGTTCTGTGGTATCCTGTCATGTATCGGTCCAAGATGGTGTGTTTATATTGTGTTTTTTGTGTACATAAGAGACTTTTAACACGGACATATTTGTCTCTCATTCTCCCAACGCTTCATGCGCTCCCCACCTCTAAACCCACGTTTCCTGTCATTTCCGTCCACAAATAAAATGCTTGCTGCGCATCTTTTCACTCCTCCAGTCACGGGAGAATTAAATGTTCATGTTTTTAGAGTTTTTTCGCGAGGTATTCTTCAAGCTTCTCCGTGTCTGCCACTAGTTATCCTCGGCTCTCTTTGCAATGGCGGCGCTGTAAACAACAGCGGCGTCCAGACCAATCACAAGCTTGCGTAATCCGTCTCGTTCGACGGATGTTTAAAACAGTGGGCTCGACTCTGTACGTACTTGCGTGCCTGCCGGAGCCCTACGCAAGGACGGATAATGGCGTTGCGTGTCTCCGCACTGACGCAGACGGAGAAGCATAAATCAGGCTTTAGTTGGTAAAAACATGATTTAACTGTGTTATTGACCTGGGCATCCATCTTCAGAGCCTGGTCCATTTGTACTCCAAGGTTGGAGATTACAGAGGATACATTAGGTGAGAGATAGTTGAGGTCAGGTTGATGAGTTGCCGTGGTACTGTTAGGACTGAAAACGATTAAGTCAGTTTTGGAGTCATTAAGACATGAATGAGCTGATGAAAAACCACAAAGCTGCAGTGGGTCAGTCGGCTCAAATCGATGACAACATCGACACAGATGACATCAACATCAGTTCCTCCACCTTCATCCTGCGTCAACACACCTGCAGCAAAGCAAACAGCCTGTGACCGATGCAGAGAACTATTGCAGTGCATCAAGCCTGGACAGGAGACGAGGTGAAGAGGTCAGACACCGAGGTCTAAGATGAGTCTGACCAAGGACGGATCGAGAAGGGTGATATCTCTCTGGGTCACAGACAAGCTCGTGTAGAAAAGGCATGAGCACTCGGGGAAGGGGGGGTGGGGGGTGTGGACATCACCCTGGACAAAAAGCACAAGTGCCACAGAATCTGCAGTTTCAGTTGGTTTCAAAAGCCACAGTTCAGTAAGCGCACTAACACGAAGACCCAGTCATCTGATCCTGAGAAGGCAGTTCTTCGCACTATGGCAATGGGACAACAGATGGCGCTAGACCTCCTCTTTGCTTCAGAAGGAGGCCTTTTGCACCTCTAGGAGGGAATGACAGACATAAAGATTCAAGTGCAAATTGTCCAACTCGTCACCTTAATCTTTTCATCATGTTGTGTTTTTTTCTTGCATTAGGTTATCATGAATAACACTTTGATCCAACAGATGGTTCTTAATTAATCAAGGCTACACCTATCTTAAATTACTCACAAGGTAACATGTAAGTGTTGATGTCTGGATTGGCTAAGCTAAAATCATTAGGTTGTTTGGGCATTCTAAATCTTACATGAGTAAGGTATGTCATAATTCCTAATTACTTAGGTTTTATGGTTGATCTTTGGGTTTTTAAAATCTTACTCTGGTCTTTTGGTATGAAAATGTATTTTTCTTTTTTACTTGTTATATTCTATTTTCACTTATTACTTTCTATTTTTTACATTTATCTTTACTAGGGTTCTATTTAATATGCTATGTAAAAGTTCACATTTTTACTATGACTCTGACTTCTATCATTCAAGAGGCGTTAAAGTTCTCAAGTTTTGTTTGGTTTATCTTTTATTACTTAAACGAGTCGCATTTCAGGAGGGTGTTGTCAGGCATTTTGATGTATTACTGTCTTAAATGCTTCTCTTTAAGTAATCATATGTTGATAAGAAAACCACAGAGTTTCTTCTCCATTCCTCATAGCTGTGGAATGCAGCCTGATAAGCATGGGGGTTGGGAAGGGTCTGCGTGGCAACAGGGAAGCTTGCAGCCACCCTGTAAGTTGAGACTTCCTTTTTAGAAGGTCCCGCCTTAGATAGAAGCAACAGTGTTTATTGGTTAAAGTGTGGACGGTGATGGATCTCCTTTGTCTCTGTTTGCCTGTGTTTCTATAAAACCATCTGTGGTGGAGAGAACTGGCCAGAGTTGATTGGACGGGGGCCTTGGACAGGCTTCTGGCCTATCTCTCTCCACTGTCTCCTCACAGCGTAAAACCTACTGACTCCTCTCCCGTGTGTGGTTCATTTTAGGGTTAAGTTTCAGGATTTAAAAATACCCAACATTTAAAAATACCCAACAAGAGGGGTGGAGCTGTCAACTGACCACTACCTGATGCTGGTCAGACCTGGCAGGCCCAAATGTATTGTGAGGTTCTGCTTGGAATGTCTGGAAGAGTCTTCTGTCAAAAGGAGCTTTATTTCTCACCTCAGACAGAACTTCCAAAATGTTCTGGGAGAGGCAGGGGGCATCAAGTCCGAATGGACCCTGTTCTGTGCCTCAATTGTTAAGGCAGCTGACCAGAGCTTTGGCCGTGGGGTCGTTGGTGCTTGTCGTGGTGGCAACCCCTGAACCCACTGGTGTACACCTGCGGTTAGGGATGCTATCAAGCTGAAAGAGTCCTATCTGTTTTTTTTGGCCTGTGGGACTCCAGAGGCAGCTGATAGGTACTGGCAGCTCAAGTGGAATGTGGCCTGGGTGGTCGCAGAGGCAAAAACTCGGGCATAGGAGGAGTTTGTTGAGACCATGGAGCAAGACTTCCACACGGCTTTGAGGAGATTCGGGTGCACCATCTGGCACCTCAGGAGGGGAAAGGAGTGTGCTACCAACACTGTTTATAGTTGGGATGGTGTGCTGCTGACCTGTACTTGGGGCATTGTGGATCGTGGACACAATACTTCAAAGACCATGAAGGACTTTAGGTTGAACTCTCCAATCTCTGGGACTGAGGTCACTAAGGTTGTCAAAAAGCTCCTTGGTGGCAAGGCTCCAGGGGTGGATGAGATCCGCCCGGAGTTCCTTAAGGCTCTGGATGTTTAATGATTTGGAGGGTTTAATTATGACCAATAAGATGTGATGATTCTATATAAATATATCTTTTAATGTTTAACCAGAAGAATTTAGGATTCTTTGCTTATTCAGGGACCATGAACACACTTCGTATTAATTCAGACAGAGTCATGTATACAATAAAAAATAAACTTGATTTTCTAGACTAATTATAATACATGACAAGCTATGACTAATGTTATGTGATGGAATGTATGTGTGGTGATGGAATGTGAAGTAGATGTTTATCTGAACCTTTGTATCTGGAATAAACTGAGTTGAGGGTGTAAGAGAATTTGTT